GTCTATGGGAGCCATACCTATTCAAATCACCATGGTGATTGAATCTTTATTTTTTAATGAGAATTTCATACATGCATAAGTGTTTGACTCCCCATCCTTCTTCATGTCCTTCAATTCTTCCTCAATTCCTCCCCTACTACCTTTCTCTCCCAACTTAATGTGCAGTTTTTAAAAACACATGGAGTCCAATGAATGCTGCCTGCATGTATACAGGTGCAGAACCATCTACTGTAGCATGGGAGGCCTTTCAAGTACCCCATCCCTGAAGAAAACTTATTCTCCCTCACAGAGTAGCCATCTGTTGCCAACAGCTGCTCAGCTGGGGTGCAGGCCTTCATAAACCCCTTCCCATCCATGTTGGGATTTTGCCAGGCTTGATCTTGCACAGGTCTTATGCATGCAGTCACAGCTGCTATGAGTTAATGTAAATAATGTCCCTGTCATGTCCAGCAAATGATCCTGCAGATGTTCACTACCTGTGGCCCTTACAAGCCTTCTCCTCCCTCTTCCTTGATAATCCCTAAACCTTGGGGGAAAGGAGATATGACATAAACATCCCACTTAGAGCTGAGCAATCCAGTCTCTTATTCTCTAGATGACTACCAGTTGTAGGCATCTGTATTAATTACCATTTACTGCAAGAAGAAGGTTCTCATAAACACTGCCTGATGGAAAAGGCATTCTAAGCAGATGGAACTAAGAAACAAGCAGTGTGGCTACTCTAACATTGAAAAAATAAACTACAGAGCAAAGCTAGTCAGATGAGACATGGTGGGCCACTTCATGCTCATCAAGGAGCAATCTACCGAGAGAATAACACAATTCTAAGCATATACTCACTGCAGTGGTTAATTTATGTAAAGATATGTAATCATATGTAGACATACCTTTGGAGAGATCTCAACAGAAGATCTGCCTCCATTAGATTGTCCTGTGGGCATGTGTGAGGGGCATTTCCTTGATTAATGATTGATGTGGGAGGGCCCAGCTCACAATGCAAGGTGCCACTCCTGGGTGGAGAGCAGGCTGAACAAGCCATGAGGAATAAGCCAGTAAGCACAATTCCTGCCTGGTTCTGCTCAGTTCCTGCCTCTAGGTTCCTGCCTTGATTTCCTATCCTGACTTGCCCAAGTGAAGGACAGTGTGACCTGCACGATGAAACAACTCTTTTCCTCTCTAAGCTGCTTTTCGTCATGATGTTTATCAAAGCAGCAGAAAAGCAAAGCAGAATACCCACAAATCACAAGTGCAAACAAGTTCATAAAAGAAATACTATTAGATCTAAAAGTCATAGAAAAACCCCAACACAGTGACAGTGGATGACTCTGATACTTCACTCCCATTATATCTGGTGAGGTCACCTGGACAAAAACTAAACAGAGAAACAGTGAAGTTAAATGATAATCAGGGCAAGAAGAAATCAAGGAGGAAATTTAAAAATCCCTAGAATTGAATAAAAATGAAAATACATCCAAAATCCATGAGACACAATGAAGGTAGGCCTGAGAAGCAGGCTTACAGTACTAAATGCCTACATTAAAAAACTAGAGATCTCAAATGAATAGTTTAATGATAAACTTGAAGGCCCTGGAAAAAACAAGAACAAATACCACACACAAAACAGTATTAGGAAGAGGTATCAAAAAAATCAGGGCTCAAATTAATGAAATAAAAAAAGAAAATATCAACACAAAAAGTTAATGAAATAAAGAGTTGGTTCTTTGAAAAGATTAACAAGACCGAAACACCTCTGGACAAATGAACAAAATTAGATGAAAATGGAGGCATTATAACAGACACTGAGGAAACTTGAGAGAATCAAAAGGACAGACTTTAAAAAAACTGATATTGGGGGCTGGAGAGACGGCTCATCAGTTAAGAGCACTGACTGCTTTCCAGAGAACCCAGATTCAATTCCCAACACCAACATGGCAGCTCACAACCGTCTGTAACTCCAATTCCAGGGGACCTGACACCCACAACAAAACTCCAATGCATATAAAATAAAAAAAATCATATTCTACTAATCTTTATTTTAAAGTAGTTGAAACATGAAAAACTACAACTACTAGTAGGATTTTCTACAGCTCACATTCAAAACCGAAATACACACCATTACTTTGTACTCAAAGCAGAACCATAATGCACCGTAGTCCATGCATGCTCTGTGGGGAACTGCGTGCTGGGCCGACAGAAACATGAGGTGAGTCAGTGGGCTGTGCTTGCCAGTGGTGCTTGTCCTGCAATGCCCAAATCATTTCTAGAACATGCCACTTTCAGGGTATATTGATCTAGAAAGTCTTAGAAAAACCAAATTGTTTCTACTAGTCCTTTAGTCCTAGAGGTGAGACCAGGGTGGTAACTTTCATGAAGCCGTGTGGAGCCGCACAGGCATGGACTTACTAAAATCAGATGTTCCCTAAGGAAGAGCGGGTCACACGTCACAAGGACTGGTCTGCCTCTCCACTTCCCTCTAACTCCTGTCGTGTGTTGCTGTCTCCTCTTCACCCCAAACTCACCACTCATTACAACTCACGCTTCTGAAATCCCCTTCTTCCAAGAAGTCCCCCATGACTTGTTGGAAGTTGTCTTCAACTCCCTCATTTGGGTATGGGGTTTTTATGCCACTGCTCTCCAGTCTCTGTGCCATAAATGTTTACATGCTCGAAGTTGCTGGAGTTTTATCAGCCCTCATGCCTGAACTGTGGCCCCAGTGGAAGGATGACAAAAACTGTGTTGATCTGGAAGGAAGAAGTGGGTTGTGGTGAAGTTCAGGCCTGGCCAGGAAACCAGAATGTTCTAAGTACAAGCATGAGTCTCCAGCCACCTTCCAGCCTTAAAGTCTCAGAAGCACTTACTTCTTGCTAGGGCTGCCTATGAGGCCATCCTAACCAGTGTCTGGGATGGAGTAACTTAGTGTCCATGGTGCATTCCTAACGAAATTAATAAGACATTTGATAAATGAAGACACAAACACAAAATAAAACAGAGAACTGAACTATTTATTTTGAATATTAAAATTAGAAATATAAACAATTACAGAGTTAATAAAAATGTTGAAGTAAAGACACTTAGAGGTAAAATTTCAACTAATAACATCTTTTAGAGAAGGAAGATTATTGGCTTTGTGTACTGTCTTTATTAAGTATTTAAAATAACAAATCATTCCGTACTTCCGTTTTGAAATTTAGTTTGGTTATGTTAGATATAATACTAGTGTACCGAGAGAAGAAGACAATGTTACACATACTTATCAGCTTTATCAGCACATTTGTCAAAGATTAAATTTGTATTTCCAGTTACTGTGACAAACAAACAAACATACATACATTTACTAACCTCAAATAATCCATATTGTGTACACACTTGTGTTCTGGAATTACTTGAACTAGGATTCTGTCCACTGAAAGAGAGGAGTCTACACTATCCGTAGATCATTTTGAAAAGCGAACTACAACTGAAGCCGAAGACAGGATGGAGTGAGCTGACAGAGCTCCCTGCAGGTCACCATGACCTGAATCCATGTGCAGGCCAGGCAGCAGGGAGTCACTGCTAATGCGTGGTGACCCGGGGCACCTCCAATCTTTACAAAACACGGCCTGTGATGAGAAGCACCTTCCCAGCTGTGGAGGGGACACTTCCAAGTTGGGAAGGGCAGGAGGAGTGACCTGTCGGGGGGAAGGAGTGCTGCCATGCCCAGGAGACCACAAGGCTTCCACGGGGCTTGTGGGTGTGACAAGGCCTCTACATGCAGGTCCCTGTGCGCCCTGACTACACCACTGCACACTGATAGATCAACTTAAGGGCGAGTGAGAAGCAGAAACTTCACAGTTCAGCACTGAGAAAAATTAAAGTCAGACTATAAAATTCAGAGTTCATTTATGGACATTAAATTATCCAAAATTTAACAATATTATATGTAGACTATATATTTTTCTTTAAAAAATTAGGAGGTTTAGAAGCATTTGTATGAAATGATGATTTTTAGGTTTAGGACACAGCTCCAAAGCCATGCCCATAAATCTCTTCTCAAATGCCTCACCTGGGTTGGAGATTGCCAACACTGGCGGTGAAGGGGTGCTGAGAAGCATATTCACACACACCACGGGCCACTCCAGAACATTCTGGAGAAGACCCTGAAGCTCACACCATGCAACATTTAGCAAAGAAAACCCATTTTGAAGAGTATGCTATGCAGCCTTACAGGACCAAAGCTAGTAACAACAAAACTTGTCTATATGTACATTTAAAATAGGGGTATTTAAACAGGCTGAAGTGAAATACCCACCAACATCTTTTTCTCGGGGAAAAGAGAGAAGTTAAACACCGTGAGGGTTTGGGCACGGGCTATCCCTCTGGCACAGGAAGAGGACGGACGGTCTCCCACTTGCTGTCTCTGGATGCTCTTCCTCCACAGGCCACTATGTTTTCATCATGGTTGGAGACGCAGCTTGGAAACAGGTGAGCTGCAAGTGCATACTGCTCTTGAACTTGTTGAGAAGCTCCTCTAGTAACCTGGAGGGAGGAGATGATTTAGCATTCTGACAGCAAAGGTCTGTGCTACCTAGCTGCAGGCCAACTTGACACAAACCAGTCATCAGAGGAGGAAGCCTCAATGAGAAAATGCTGTCGTAAGCCTGTAAGGTGTTTTCTTAATTACTGACTGATGGAGGAGGACCCAGCCCACTGTGGTGGTGCAGTCCCTGGCTGGTGGTCCTGGGTTCTATAGGAAAGAAAGCTGAGCAAGCATGTTGAGCGAGCCAGTGAACAGCACTCCGTCATGGCCTCTGCATCAGCTCCTGCCTCCAGGTTCCTACTCCACAGGAGTTCCTGCCCTGATTTCAATGATGAATAGTGACATAAAATAATAAGACAAATAAACCCTTTCCCCCCAAGTTGCTCACAGACATGGTGTTCCATCACAGCAATAGTAACTCTAAGATAAAGTGGTTTCCCTAGTTTGCTTTTCTGCTGCTGTGATAGAACACTGTGAACAAAAGCTACTTGGAGAGATTTATTTGGATTACAGGTTACATCCATCCATCATTTGGAGAGCCCAAGGCAGAAACTCAAGGCAGGAGTTTAGAGCAGAAATCACAGAGGAATGTTGTTTATTGGCTTGCTGTCAGGACCACAGCAAGCCACCTTTCTTACAGAGGCCAGGCCCACCTGCCTAGGGATGGTACAACACACAGTGGACATCAATTAGCAATCAAGAAAATGCCCCGGAGACATGCTCCAGGCCAATGTGATGGAGGCAATTCCTCAACAGAGATTCCCCTTTCCCTGGCCGTCAAGCTGACAACCAAGAATAGCCATCACACTAGCTTAGCAACTCTGCAAATATGCAGGGAGCTGGTGGGCCAGGTCTGACTGCCATGCTGTGTTTAGAAGAAAGCCAAAAAAGCCAGTCTATGGGATCTTAATCAGTAATGGAAATATCTCAACCAAAAAGAAAGAGGCTGCTTAGAGAACACAGTAATACAAGTCTCTATTTTTCTTTAGATTTTCTCTCTACATCCTTCTCTAGAGTCCTTCCTCAAACAGGGTAATGCTTAGGTCTACTCTTTTATAATTACTCTAACAATCAAGAGAAATGAAAACCCACTCTTTTGTGTTGTCCAGTTCTATGACTGTTAGCAAGCACACACAGTAGGGACAGTTCCAGGAGACAGGTCTTTCTCTCACTCTACTCATTACACTTTCCACTTCATTTTATTTATTATTATTATTGTGTGCATGGGCGGGGGGGGTTGGCCTGCATGCCACATCACACAAGCGGAGGTCAGAGATCAACTCTGTGAAGTTAATTCTCTCCTACCTTTATGAGGTTGCTGCGGAGTGAACTCAGGTCACATGGCTTGCACCATCCAGTACCAAGCGCCTTTACCAAACTGAGCCTATCTGTAGGCTGCAGCCCTACTCCTTTTATGACGTCCCTCTGGTGCCAGCCCTTTCCTTTAGTCTCTACACAACTCAGTTATTGTTGTCTCTCTACTCCTCCATTTTGTCTGCATAGTGGTGAGCAGATGTAGTGACTTGGGCATGGCAGGGCCTAAGTCAGTTCTACCTCCACTAGGGAATGCCATGTCCCTATGAACATATCTAAAGTATTCCAGACTAGGGAAATGGAAATGCCATGCCATGTCCATTTGCCTAGTCTGAAATACTTTAGATATGTCTAAAGCCAGAAGGACTCTCAGAGCTCATCTAGTACAGATGGAACCTAGAACTGTGCTTGATACCATGAAGATCAGTGGAGCCTGTCACGATGAATAATGATCAATACTGGAACATCATCCCCACAGTCTATCAGTCCTGATCTAAGACACACTAGGTTTCTGGGTCTTTGTTTTGTTTTCTTTTGGAATTTTGAGACAGACTCTCAGTTCTAGAATAACTCCAAGGTTATTCTAGAAATTTAAATTAACATATATATTTACTATTATTTTGAGTGAAAGAGAATGTGTGCATGGCATGCGGCAGGGGTGGGCACAGGAACATACATGCAGGCTGGAGGACAACTCGTGGAGAAGCTGATTCTCCCCTTTTTATATGGGCTCTGTGGACAGAGCTTAGGTTAGCAGACTTCCACGGCAGCTGTTTGAACCGTTGAACCATTCTGGCCTAGACCTCCCAATCCGCTTGCTCCTGAGCACTAACACTACAGGCACATAAGACCTGAAACACACAGCAGATCAGCTCAAAGTGTCAATCTTGGTTGTTCTTGATGCTCAGATGCATCCTTTTGAAACACGTTTCATGTATTAAGAACAGTGGTGACTATTTTTATCTTTTATTTTAAAGAAATGAAAAGGGCCTGGAACGAATTCCCAAACAAAAACCAAGTAGGGACTGGAAGCAGGGTGTTCTGTGTTGTGAGGCACCGTCTGCTGCCTGTCTGTCTGTCTGTGTGGAGACACACACAAGGGGCTGCACTGGGGTCACACATTAAGGAAAGCTGCTTTGCCCTCCTCTCCCCAGCCCAGGCACTCTTCATGACCACAGCTGGTCCAGGCACTTTCTCTGCACAGCATTTCTCTGGGCTGTGCACAGAGCCCAGCACTGTGCATTTTCCCCTAGGCAAAGGCAAGTGGACTTTAGGAAGGGCGACAAGGTGAAGAGCTACAGGGTCAGTCTCCGCCGAGCTGAGGCCGGATGTATGTAAGCTGTTCTGTGTCATGTGTGCAGCTTGACTAACACTCGGTTTTACAGGAGTCAAGGTCAGAGGACGGTCCTCATCGCTCTTCTTAATGTGGAAGCCAGTGCTGCAGCTGACTAAGTCCATGGCTTTCTCATGTTCTCTGAACCTGCCACTTACAGCAAAAGTCAAACCTAAAAGACAGACTTGATCCTGTCATTTGGAAGATCAGTGAGGCACGGGGAACCCAGCACGCCACATTACGGGGTCACCTACGCTCCCTTACCCCCGGGCCCTCTCAGACTCCTCGCGGGTCCTTAGCCAGCAGAGCTTGTGTGGCGCAGCTAGGGACTGAGGAGAGCACGCAGAACTTACTTTTTGTCCGCGCCACTTGCAAGCTGAGGCAGGGCTTCCAGGGCCTGTTTAAAACTAGACCTGAAACACAAAAGCACATCAGCTCAGAAGTCCACAGTGCTGAGCAGAATTCATGAGGGGATCACTGTAAACACCCTTAAGCACATTGGAAATATAAAGAAAACCAATGAAGGCCAGTAAACTGAGTGGAGATGTATGAGAAAGAGTAAAAGTGAAAAACAAGAGAAAAAGAAAAAGGAAAAGAAAGGCTATGGTGAGCAGACAGGCAGGGCTTCAGGGGCAGGCCAAAGAGACACAGCCAGGAAGTGGAGTCTGACCCATACAAAGATGCTGTTCAGGGGAGCAGTGAGGCTGCTGTGACTGCAGAGACTGGGTGGGGGTTGGGGGAGGGAGGACTTAAAAAAAAAAAAAACTATAGCTAGAGCAACTGTGAAGCAGGAGGGCAGTGAGAGATGGGTGCAGAACAGTCCCCAGACAGTCGCAACTGACAAGGACAGAGTCTCCTTATAGCCATGTCTTCTCAAAGTGGACACGGGACAGTTTCTAGTTCTTATCAGAATTAACATGGACAGGAAAGGAAGATATTTCCATGTAATTTTAACAATGTATCTTTACATGAGAAAGGTAAAATGAATGAACTGAAAAACTATCTATTTAGTATTTTAGTTTTTTTCAAGAGAGAGAATCAGAAGGAGAGGAGTGAGGATCACATTGGAGAACTTATTTAATAATAACTACTGCTCCTGAGAACAGTTCTGAACTTTTCATGGCCTACTTTTCTAGTGGAGTTGAAGAAATACATGTAATCATTACTGATCAGGGAAGTCTTCAATGTTATATTAAAACTATCTTCTTCAATCGACCAGGACATGAACGTCTAAACAATGTTATCTTGACCTAAAGGCATGTAAACCGACTGAAAGTCCCCACAGAATGATAAAAGCGCCCCTAGGAATCCTCCATTCTCCCTAGCTGAGGAGCAGTGTGGGTGGGTGGGGACAGTGTCGGCTGGCATATTAGGCTGCCTTTCCATGTTCAGTGGGCTCTCCTCTTTCCTGAGGGAGAGAGAAGTCCCTTCCTATTTCCTCTACCACATCCTGTTTCCCATGAGGCTGGATTAACTGAGAGGAACACGTTGCTTCATTGTCCTTTGTTGTCAGGACAAGATGATGGGGATGAAAATGGCGGGCATCTAATATCTGTAGGACACTAACAGCTCAGGAGATGACCGGACACATGCTATGAACCTCACAGGTCTGTCTCGGAGTTCCCAGGTTGGGCGTCTCTAATCTGAAATCCAGTGTGCTCCAAGATTTAAAATGTTTTAAGCACCAATAGAATAGGAGGTTCATTATTAAACACTAAATTACTTTTCTTTTTCATTTTCTTTTATGTGCACGAGTATTTTGCCTGCATGTACGTCTGTGTACCACACACATGGCTGATGGGTGTGGAGGGCAGGAGAGGGCACTGGATCCTCTAGGACTGAGTGGCAGACGGTTTGAGCCACCATGTAAGTACTGGGACTCAAACTGAGGTTTTCATCTGCCAGTACTCTTCCACTGAGCCATCTCTTCAGGCCCTCAATCATTAAATGATTAAGAAACTGTATTAAGCCAGGCGGTGGTGGTGCACACCTGTAATCCCAGCACTCGGGAAGCAGAGGCAGGTGGATCTTTGTGAGTTCTAGGCTAGCCTGGTCTACAGAGCTAGTCCAGGACAGGCTCCAAAGCTACAGAGAAACCCTGTCTTGAAAAACAAAACAAAACAAAACAAACAAACAAAAGAAACTGTATTAAGTTATCTTAAGTCATGTGTATGGATGTAATGAAACATAAATAAATTCCTTGTTTAGACCTGAGTTCCATCTCCAAGATAACTCTTTATGTAACTCAAATATTCCAACACGCCCACACAATCTAAAACTTAATATATTTTGGTCCCTGAGTATTTTGAATACAGGATACTCAATCTGTATTATCTTGAACCTAGGTTCCAAAGTGTTATGTTCAAGGAGATAAACAGGCACTCACGTTACCATTTTAGGCAGAAAAAGGAGTGGTTGGGAAAAGGTGTGTTTAAACAATGAACATAGGATCATCCAGAAATGGTTTGTGGTACACCACGGCAAGCAGGAAGAAGATAATTCTACCTGTTAAGAAAATACTGAATGTTCTCAGCTGTCCTGGTGACAGCCATGCTGTCAAAGGCTGGGGATGCATGAACGGTCCCGCACTGCCCTCGTGCTCCCAGCACAGACTGACTTCCCCGGTAATGCTGTGGCTGTGGCAAACAGTTCTGAGCACGCGGGCAGTAGGTCTGCTCATTTCACCTACTGATGTCTCAATAGTAGGAAATCCTGACTTTCATTCAAAACAGCTAAAAGTTACCATCAATTTCCACTACAAAACTTTGCAAGAAACCACAGGCTTCCTCTTACGCTGATATTTACAACACTCAAACTGTCCTTCAAATCTGATGAAGATTTATTTTTTTTTTTGTCTTTCTTTTTAAAGGAGTATGTCACACTTGGCCATGTTATTTAAGAGACTAAGATTTATAAGTAATGAATTTAAAAAATTACATTTATAAAGTGCTCTAAAGAAGTGGCCTTGAGTGTCACTGTCTTATTGCAGGCTTGTAAATTTTTAGTAAAAATCTCTGATGACATCAGATTTATCGCAACACAAACGTAAGAGCACCTCACTCTGGTAAGTTGTCTGTACACGAGTAAAGCCATTTTGATGTAAAAAGAACTAGGCAGCAACACTTGGCATCTCACCTGCTTTCCGGGGTCAGGTAAATGGCTACAGTGTCTCTCAGAGCACAGATTTCAAGTCTCGCCTAAAGATGGGAGAAAGGCAAGAGTGACAAGTGTCAGTTACCAAATGATGGCAAGAGCTGAGGAGACGGCCTGAAGCCTGCTTACTGCAGCCCAGGCTGCTCAGAACAACAACACGGTGACAATTGGCTGTGAAAAGACTCTCGGAGAACAGCACTAACATCCCAGTGTGTCCTTTAATCCTGCTGTCAGATATGACTGTGTGGGGAGGAGATGGACATATCGCATGATAATTACTACCTGACTAGTACTTGCTTTTTAGTTTGTGTGTGTGTGTGTGTGTGTGTGTGTGTGTGTCACATTAGCCCGAGTGGCTGGGCTTGCTTCCTGGCACCTACATTCTTTAAGGTACAGTCTCTTCTCCAGTAAAACCAAGCTCAAAAAGTCAATGCAATCACTGTTAAATTCACGGATGAGCTTTTAAGAAAAAAATGCAAATTGACAAGTTAATCCTAAAATTGATAAGGAAATGTAAAGGCCCCAGAAAAGCTAAAATGATGTTGGAAAACAACAACAGATTCGGAAGCCTCACATTTTCTGATTTCCAACATTCACGCAGCAAGCTATGCTAAGTCCCGTCAGTGTGCCTCCACACATGGACAGGCACAGCGCTCAGTAATGCAGAATAAAGCCAACTGATTTCCACTAGGGTCATAAACATCCATTCAACGAACAGAAACAGCACAACTGGATCCACACATGAAAGAATGAAGCCCAAACCTCTCTTAACATAACTCCAAACAGACCACAGGCAGACCTAAACATAAAGACAAAAATGGACTATAAGCTCTTAGAAGAAACAGCGTGAGTTTTTGTGGCTTCGGCAAGTCTTCTGGGAAAATGCAAAAGTACAAGGAACCAAGGGGAAATCAGCTGGCTGTCATCGAAATGAAGCCCAGCCACCCAGTAACAGATGCCACGGGGAAAGTGAGACCACAGCCCACAGCACCAGACACCACAGCTGGGACAATAGCCAAGGTCCACAGGGTGGTTCCTTAACAAGTGTTGATAGGGCAAGGGGGTAACAAAAGGCCTCGTTAATGGACAGCAGTGTCACTGCTTTGGAAGACACTGCGGCGCTTCAATGAGGGGCCATTCATCACTCTCGCTGAGCCACACACCAACCTTTTAATCTTGAGACAGTCTTAGTGAATTGCCAGGCTGGCCTTGAACTCACTGTACAGACCACACAAACCCTGATTTGACACCTTCCTGTCTTGGCCTCTTGAGGAGCTGGGATTCCAGGTGTGGACCACCATGCCCAGCAGTAGATCCATTTTGACTTAAGTTTCCTAGTCTGAGGCAGCTTGGTCAGAGTGGAATCGGACTAAGCACATGTGTTTACAGGACCAGCCAGGAATGTGGGCAGTGCTCACAGAGCTGTGATGCTGCTCTCTGGAACACTTGCCTGTGTTTGGGGCTGCTCCCAAATCTAAACCACAAAGATGGGAAGCGCTGTATTGAAGTGGAACAACTTTCAGGCTAAACATCCAGAAACAATGGGAAATGTGCTGAAGTTCCATTTCTTCTAAGTCTGCTCCCTCAGTGCCAGTGTGTCCTTTGGGGTCATCAACTGTGATGTTTATTTAAATAGAGACGTTAAGTTTGCAAGTGGTAACTGCAGTGGGCATGTATGAGAGAGCTTCCTCAGCTCTCAGCTGAAGAACTGCCCCTATATCTTTTTTTAGTGCGTGTGTGCGCACATGCATGTGTATTTTACTGAGGAGTAACCTCCAGAGTCCCATACAAGCAAGCACACCTTACACCACTAAGCTCCACCCCCATGCCACCACTGCCTCTTCAAATGCACACTCACTGTCTCAATACACAGAAAGCTCACAAGCAGGAGGCCACTGTCTCCTCTACATGAGCACTGTGTTGTCACAACAGTTACCTCACTGAGGAGGAGGAGGAGGAGGAGGAGGAGGAGGAGACAACTATTTACACCTCTGAACTATACAGCATTGAATGCTTTGGAAAGACATGGAAGGACTCTGTGGATCTGTGTTCAAATAGTTTTAGAAAACTCTTGAAGGTTTTCTTCTGTTTTAATGCCTGAAACAGAATGTCTGGGAACTGCACAGATCACACACAGTGTGTGTGTCAGTATGTATGTGTGTGCATGCACAGTGGATATATATGCATGCTGCACAGTGTGTGTGTACCTCTGAAATTAGCAGGGGCACTGGAAACGCCAGCTGTGTTTATAAGGCAGGCAGCTAACACACAGTTGCCTATTTTAAAAACACATATCTCTATGAAATCGGAGGATTTGGGTACCTGCAGTGCTCCATTTCTGCTGAAGGATGAGACACACTGCATCAGCCGGCTCAGCTCTTCGGAGACTGCTTCGACCACCCTGGCCAGGACCCGTGGCACCAGTTCTTTGGAAATAGTGAACACCTGATGGGAGGTTTAGAATAAGAAGAAACAGTGTATTACATATACTTTTCCTGACTCCTGTCTGTCAAAACACAGTAATAAACAAAACAACAACAAATCTCTTAAGTTTTCTAAGCTGTAATTTTGAAAAAGCAAAGTTATGAATGGAAGATACATAAACTTTTGTTTTTAAGATTTATTTTATTGTGTAGTATGTGAGTGCTTGGCCTACACATATGTATGTGTACCACATGTGTGCCTGGTACCTATGGAGCTCAGAAGAGGGCATCGGATCTCCTGGAACTGGAGTTACCAGTGGTTATGAGCCATCATGTGGTGCTGGGACCAAACCTAGTCCCAGCAAGTGTTCTTAACTACTGAGTCATCTCTCCAGTCCCCAGATGTATACTTTGGTTACATTTACTGATTAATGACAAAAACAACTTTTAAAAAAGGTACTGCAGATGTTGACTAAAAATTTTTTTTTGAAAATTTTGTCTTTATAAGAAACAAAATTCATAAAAGGGATAAAACCTCTGGGTAAGTATTTGCACAATTTAAAAGATTAAGTGAGCTGGTTATTGGTGTAGTGGTGTGCACCCGCTATCCTGGCTACTCAAACAGGTGAGCAGGAAGAGTTTCAACCCAGAAGTTTGAGTCCAGCTTGGGCAACACAGTGAGACTCTGTGTCTTATAAATAAATATGTTTCATTAACTGTATTGATAAACATTCCAGTTTTTTGTGTGCTATAAATACATTATTTCTTTTTATTTGACATACAACATTGTTAAATTTTATTTAACAACAACACCACACACACACACACACACACACACACACACACACACACACACACACACACGACTTGGCATGTATGTGGAGGTCAGGGGACAACCTATGGTAATTGGTTCTCTCTTCCATTATATGGGTTTTGGGGATCAAACTTAATTCATCAGGCTTGGCAATAAGTACTTTTATCTGCTGAGCCATCCTGGTGACCCTATTTCAAATTTTAACATTTGACGAAGTTATATCTGCAGGTTTAGTATTTTAGTATTTTATTTATTTAATTCACCAATTAAAGTATGTTCTCTTTTTAGTTTTGCCTGTTCCCAGTTTGAGGCGCTAGTGTAAATTAAACATTTGTGTCAACACAAACAATTTTGGCAATTTAAAATTTTATTACAAATGACAGTCCTGGTGAAATTCTATTTTAGGTTAGTGGGCTAAACTGAAAGGGAACTTGAAAGGCTGATACTTAAGTAACCTCACAGCTATTGATAATGGCTAATAGCCAACCATCAAGATAGGAACAGAGTGATCCTTACAGTCCTTATGTCCTTAGTTCTTCTGCTTTATGCAAACAGGATTTCTACCCACCAGTCATTTCTTTTAATGCTTTAATCTTAAAAGAAACTAACACAAGAATTATCTAGTATGTTTAATAAAATTACAGAGATCTATGAGACCAACCCCTGCCAGAGTTAAATCACTGTCCTTATCCATATTTTTCCAGATACCATGAAGGCCTCCAAATCTTCTAGAGGGAGAAAGCCACCTAAGCACCTGCCTGGACGCCTACAGCTAAGCTAAGGGGCACCTGAGCCACAGTGCTAACTGGCTTGGCCTTGCTTTATTTTCCAGCTTCCCACCGCTCTGCGAGCCACCCTTAGAGCCCGCACTAGACTGAGATCACTGCATGAACACGCAGCAGCAACAGTGGCTGTGGCACCCATGGTGGTAGCTTGTTTTCCATGAACCTCAGAAGAGCGACTCTCACGCCTAGGATGTCCGATGAGGATGCTAGCATGAAGCTTCAGATGATAACTGTGGGGGACAGCTTGTGTGAACCATGGGCAGCAACATCTACACACCCCGAAGCAACACAACTGATTGACTAACTTCAGTGTTAAGGATTACAGAAGACACGGACAATTTCAGAAAAAGACTAAGTTACACACACACATATGAACACACAAAGACATATGCATACACAGACACAAACACATGCACACAAACACACATGCACACTGACACAGATGCACATACATATAAACGTGCATGCACACAGGCACACTCACACATCATGAACACAGATGCACATGTAAATAGACATATATACACAGGCACACACAGAGAGATACACACACACACAGACATACACACAAGAAAGTTGAGCTTTATTTTACTTACATGCCCAAGATACATTCTGAGGGGGAAAAGAGACCTTTCTTGTGAATAATAATTGAATTCACTTCTCTTTCTTTCTTCCCCCTCATTTACCTGCTTTTGTAGGAACAGTTAATGACAGCTTACCTCTGCATGCACAGCAATCATATTCACCAATGCTTCTTTTAAATAGTTTCTGACACCTGAAATCAAGATGGGGGAGGGAAAAGTACTCAGGGAGATCCACAGCCAGCGCTCTGCCCTGCAGCATCAGCATGCAACTACCAGAGCAATCTGAGGTGAAACTGAAAATAACACCATCACTGTCCATTTCCTTTGGAGATCAAAAACGGTGAAAGGACATTTCCAGAGAGGTTAAAACCAAAACAGCTTAAATGAGACATTTTCTTTCACTCTTTTTCATTCTTATCACTGGTGGCTCTGAAGTTACTATCAGTTGGTCTCAGAATCAAAACTTAAAAGTATCCTTGTAGTTCACATGCATTTCAGACAACGTGCAGAGGGCAAGAGGGGTGTTGAAGTCTGTATGATTCTTGTTAGACATCCACTGCAGCATTCTACACAATGACGTTTTGATTCTGAGGAATCACTTTATTTTTCCTGTGTGTATGTGGGTTTATGTGCACCATGAATGTGCGGTGCCCGCTGAGACTAGAGGGCCAGGGGGCATCAGATCCACTGGAACTGGAGTTGTGAACCACATAGCATGGGTGCTAGGAACCAAAACAGGTCCTCTGCAAGAGCAGCGTACCCTAAACTGCTGAGCCAGCTCTCCAGCCCATGAGTGACTTCAAAGAAGAAAACCTTAAGGTCGTGGAGATCACTCAGTGAGTAAGGGTGCTGGCCATGCAGGCAGGAAGACCCATGCCTGAAACCCAAACACCCACGTAAAAAGCCCTAGGCTGGGCAAGGCTGGGCCTTTAACCTCAGTTCTGTGGGGGTTGGGGTGGAGATGTGAGCATCACTGGGGCTTCCTTGATGCCAGCCTAGCTCCAGGTTCAGTGATAGACTCTGACTCAAGCGAGTAAGGCAAAGAGTGAGAGAACAAGATACACAGGTGTGCCCCTTCCCCCATGTGCCCAAACACCCCCACTACACACAGGAAAAGCCTGTCACAAAATTAATTAGACCTGATTCTATAAGGCAGGTTAAAGACTAGACAAAATAAAGATATCGGAATGTAGTCCTGAATTAACGAGCATAGCTTCAAGTTAACAGTAGCACCCAGATTATGGGTGCAGAGTATGTGGTCAGAGCTTTCTGAAGCAGCTCCCTTCTAGCTGTGACTTTGGTGAGAAGGCCTTCCCACGTGTCGAGTGAGTGTAGATTCTGCACCTCTTCTGCCAGACTGCAGTGAAGATTAACGGTGACCACACACATATTTTACTGTTCACCATGCTCCTTAAGAAATTGCCATGGTGTAAGAAAAATGCAAAAGCACGGTGCTTTTTTCCTGTAACTCCAAAATGACAGCTTTCTTCTGGAGTGGAATATTCTAGACTGTCTTCTAGAATTAACCACAAAGGCTTCAGCATTCTCTCAGACTCATCCATAGCTTGGCTATGCACAGACCATGAGCTGTAATCAACATTTTCTGGTTGTTTTGAGACGGGATCTTGTGCAGTCTAAGCTGGTCCTGAACTCACTATGCAGTCAAGAATGACCTTGAACTGATCCCTCTGATTCCCCTTCCTGAGGGCTGGGATTACAGGTTAAATCCAAGGGAAGCAGAGAGAAGAACACAAGAGACCTATGAAAGTGAAATACCTAGCTTGCAGAACAAAGCAATTGCTTCCAGTCAAAGTAGCTGGGCATGCAGAGCTAGGCCTTCTCTGGACAGCACGTTTGACCAGGTGTCAAACTCTGGTCACTGTCCGAGGTCTAGGGCAATCTGTGGGATTGTGTGTTCATATCTCTCTATACCTCAGAGTGAGACCGGTGGTGATCTAAGGAAGTAGGAGATAAAACCCCACAGCCTCTGTCCTGTGATACCAGCTCTGTTGGTGCCACTGTAAGGCAGATGTCAGCGACGATGACTGGAAATCTCAGGGCAGTTTTACACTTTTAAGAACTCTTTAATGCAAAGTGAGAGTGGGGCTAGAGTGCTGACCACTACGCCAAAAATTAAACTTCAACTCAAGCAAGGCAGTCACATGCCCAGCGACCGTATACTGTGAATTCACTCTCCCTCTGACTCTGATAGGAAAAACATCTGGCAAGACCATTAAGTATCACCAACAAAATACTCCATATCAGAGACAGCCCTGGATTAGTCAAGATAATTCTAAAGATGCAGCTGTGACAGAGAACAGTAAGAACACCAGCAGAGAAATCAGGCTCCTGTTAGCCCAACTACAGGTTTTGCATGAATAGCAAAAGAAGCCTTAACCCTGGGGAAAAATGCATGAGAAAAGAATCTATTTTCAATAAAAGAAAAAAAAAAACGAAAAAATAAATTCTATAATTTTTGGAGTTTTTATCTCTATGACTAGGGAAAAAAAAAACTGCTTCTCTTCACAAAACACCAAATAACTGCTTTGGGGCTAAGGGGCATGATGGGACAGAGAAGGGACAGATAGTTTAGGCTGGATGGAAACAGCTCTTCTGCTTAAGCGATGTGTCAGGCCAGTGAGGGCACTAGTGACAAGCTGATGTTGACCACCTCTGCACAGGGTAACCAGCCTCAGCTGGATCTTGCTAAAGCAAAATATTAACCTCCCAAAGCAATGCATATGCTACAGGAATAACAATTACAAAACCAAGCTGTTTAGGATGGGGCATGCCTGAAACCCTAGAATCTAGGCAGCCAAGGCAGGACACAGTGAAAAGTCTGTTGAAAAAAAAAAAAAGAAAAAAAAAAAAAAAAAAAAAAAAAAAGGTTAAAAATATTCTGACTCTTTTGCCTGCTCTTGGGACTCTTTTCCTCCTGTTGGGTTGCCATGTTCGACTTTGATATGAAAGTTTTTGCTTCATCTTATTATATTTTATTTTGTCATGTTTTATTATCATCTCTTAGAAGCCTGTTCTTTTCTAATGAGAGACAGAAAGGGAATGGATGGGGGGGGGAGGGAGGAGGAAGGGAGGAATTGGGAGGAGGAGAAGAAGGGAAAACTATAATCAGGATTTATTGCATAAGAAAAGAATCTATTTTCAATAAAAGAAAAAAATACTGAAAAAAATAAATGAACCATAGGCTTTCTCTTTCCAAAGAGCAACTCACTATATCAAAAAAGTATCTTTCATTACAAAGTTAACTATATAATTCATACAAAGGAAGTGACTACAAATATTCACTCATTTGTTAACACAAATTTCCTGGGATTCTCTTATGTGGTGGACTACTAGGTACATATCCAGCACTGAGCCCTTAAAGGAGAATATGTTGATAATCCCAGAAAGAAGGCCACAAAGTAACCAAAAGTTTGATCATAATTTACTGCTGTTGGTTTTTTCTATAAGCACACGTAGCAAATTCATACAAGGCAGTTATATGAAAAGGTTTTAGGTCGCCAAGAAAACCAGTTTCAAAGAATCTGTAAATGAGTTTGGCTGCTCTCTTCATTTTGTGAAACTCTTAGCTGTTTAAACGCTAGTACTGAGGTAGAGGTAGAAAAAAGTCACAGCGACAGGCTAGCCCAGGAAGCATCTATGTTTGGAAACAGTCAGTCTGCCTGACCCATCATGTGGAGGCAAGCAGCTGGCAAACATGCTTTCTGATGACTGGGCAAAGGAAGAGTACAGTTGGGCTTCCATATCCAGAGACACCATGTCCACAGATTCAACCAACATGTAGACCACGGCAAGCATCAACACATACACACCTTTCCCTGTCATTATTCCTAACTAAAAGCCTGTGACAGTTGTCTGTGTTCAGCATTGTAAGGAGTCTAGAGGTGAGTGACAGGCAGGAGGACACACACAGTTCCGGGCAGCTCTGTGCCCTTTCCCAGAATGGACCAAGCATCTGGAGTACTGGTGTCTACACCGTGGATGCTGTGGGCAAACGGTGCTTGGGAATGGGAGGCTGGCCCTCACCTGTGGCCTTAGGGACAACGACAGAACCTGCCATCTCTCCCTTCAAGGAAAAGGAAAGGAAAGGAAAGCAGAAGCCAAGAGATGTCACCCAAGAAAGATCTCAGGAAAGCTGTGCAGATTTGCACTGTCTAGAATGAATGGCTGTCCTCCTGAGGTGGAAAGCAGGATGGATTCCAAAGGTCCCTTGGCTTTGGTGCCTGGGGCAGGATCAGAATTTGATTTTTGGTGAGGAGGCTATTTCTATAGGACAGATGACTGTGAGAGGCAGAGACACTACAGTCTACTCTGGTGGCCAATGGTGTTTTCCATCCTTGTCACATTTTACTTTATTTTAATATTATTGACAATTGACTAATTACTTTTTATGTTCCTTGAGGTGACAAAAAATACATCTAGGACCCAAATTGTGACTTTCCAATCACTAACCACACGACCTCAGACAACTCAGTTTGCCTCTCAAGTGACTGCCAACTCTGAAAGGCAGCGATTACAGTGTGTCCTTTGCTAACAAAGTCATTATAAAAATGCTGTTTGCTCCCTCATTCTTCAACAGCACCCATCCACCCTGTGTGAAGAGCACTGTGTGGTGTAGGAAGAAGCCAGAGCACATACAGCCTGCAGCCCCAGGAGAGACCACTTTGGTAGAAGAAGTGTTCTGCTGAGCCACAAGCAGGGGATACATTCCAAGGGCTACCGCTTTAGATAAAGACATAAGCAGCTGGCTAACAGGCACACTGGGTATACAACGCACTAACTACACTGTATCTTCTGAAACTCCAGGTGTACATGTGCACACTCTACCCACGGTGACTGCCCTCTAGCTGCAGCAGTATAGGAATTGATTAACCGCTGAAAACTTGTTTGTAACACATAGTGGCAACAGGCGGCTTGACATGACTTCCAATGGGGCTGTGGTGGGGTCTGATAGGGGATCTGTCTCTGATAAAACTTTTGTGCCAGTTTCACACCAAGTGTGAAGGTGGTACATTAGTGGAATTCATTTCTCATATTTTGCTTTGGCTTTCAAAAAATGGCAGAATATCATATATTAGTATGGCCAGGGGAGACCATGATGTCTGGTTTGACCACTAGATTTTTTAGGGCCAAAGTGTCTAAATGAACTGCTAAGTGAATGTTGTATAGAAAT